TTCATTGGTCACGGCTTGTTTTATGCCACAGACAGAATCTTTTCACTTTCTTGCAGCCAAAGGTAAAACATTAATGTTATAGATCGCACAGGGACACATTTTGATCCACCCAAAGCAAATTCAAAAGGAAGTGGTGTCTGGCTGTAGTAGTGATGGAGGCTGTTGAGGGTGATGCACCTCAGTGTCAGGGGATTGTATACAGCTCACGGACTGTGTTCTGGCCATGCCTGAATTAAAAGAACACAAAAAGGCAAAAGTCATAAATTTGCTATAAAATACAGAAACATGCAGATTACAAATTTCAGGAATTTTAAAAAAATATGTGTTTTTTTTCTTTTTTACTAGACACAGTTGTTTAAACAAAGCTTCATTCAGTTAAGGCAGGCATACCATCTCTTTATTGTGATTTTGCAGGTATCTTCAACGTCACAGAAATAAAATAATCATGGGTGTGAAGCCTTGTCAAGAAGAGTGAACAAAAGTGGTTTTCTGGGCTAGGACAAGCCAATGAGCTCCTGAAATTCCCAGAATAAACAAATGTGTCATTGGGTTACATGTAAGAAGTGTATAAAATTACCACACCAACCAAGGTTTGCCCCAGCTATTAAAGTTACACTCCCAGCAGTTTGCTACAATCAGTGTTGCTTGTTCCATACGAGTGATGGGCATAAATTGAAAAAAAAATGAATCACCAAATTCGTTCCAAAAATCACTAATTTGTCAATTTGTATTTGTATGAATCAATGCCTCCAACGAATATGAATCAATGAATTTAAGCAGCTTTTGATTTGTAAATTCATTTGGCTGTAAACAGCCCTCAACACACCTAGAGACACTACAATTGCAGGGTAGCTTCCCCTAATACTCCTCTACAAGCCCAACAAGTTTGGTGAAAATTGGATTTCAAATGTCCAAGTTATATACTCGCAAGGAACACCCCCTAGGAAAGTTTCCCCCAGGCATCTAGAGACACCAACTTTCCTCTCCCAGTCTGGTGAAGACTGATTTCCCCCAGGCATCTAGAGACACCAAAATGATGGAGAAGCTTGCCATGACTTTCCTCTCGCAGTCTGGTGAAGACTGGGTTTTCCCAAGCCAGCTACTAAAGGGCTTGGACATCTGAAACCCAATCCTCTCCAAACTTGGAGAGAATGTAGAGAGTCAGTAGACACTTTTGTGTCATCTTGGTGTCTCTGGGTACCCAGGGGGAAGTTTCCTGGGGGGACCGCCTTGTGGGCGCTCTGGGTACCCAGGGGGAAGTTTCCTGGGGGTGCTTAACTCAGATGTCCAAAACCTGAATTTCACCAAACTTGTAGGGGTTGGATAATCGATGTCCAAAACCCAAATTTCACCAGACTTGTAGGGGTTGTATAATGGAGTTAGAGGAAGCTTTTCTGCAAATTTGGTGTCTCTAGGTACGGAGGGTAATTGTACAGGGTCTTAAAATAAAAAAAATGAGTTGACAAATCAGGAAAAAATCATAAATTAGTCATTCTTGAGTCATTGACCTTGACGAATCACAAATAAAAATGAATCACCTTTTTTCTGATTCATGACCATCGCTGTTCCAAAGACCTTTGCAGTTTATTATGGGAAATCCATTTCCAAATTCTTTCCTGATAAATGTGAATAAACCGTGCTTACTTTGAACTATTCCCATGTAGTAATACTGTTGATTTCTTGGGAATGTCCATGGACTTAGCTATGTTAGTATGTTGCAGCAGAAATAAGAAATACTTATAGATTAACAAGTTATGGATGACAGTCTATCACAGTATCTGATGCAGTTCATAAAGCTTGTGCCAAATAAAAAGTGGTTCAGTTTTAAAAGTTGGCCCATCTGTCATTTAGCCAACTATTGCCTGTAGGCATGAATTAATGCACTGCAACTTATTGTGTACAGAAAGGGTGTCTTCTAGTTTATGATAGTTTAACTCAGTGGTTTTCGACTTCCAAGAGTCCCATAAAATTTGGGACCAGGCAGGGGAGCTGTAAGTGACTCCCTATACCATTCCTTGAGCCCCCAGATGTTTCAGGCCACAAGTCCCTTATCAGTAGCCATTGTAGCTGAGGCTTCTGGGAATTGAAGTCCAAAAGATCTGGACAGCCAATTGTTGAAAACCACTGCTCTTACAGGAGATGAACCTGGGAAGTGCATGCAAAGCAGGTTCTCTGCTGAGGATTGGTAGATGCAGAACCCATTGGGTGACCCCGCTCTTTAGATGTTATGTAACATTGAGTGCTTCCAACTTTTTTTTCAGGGAGGTGAGACTTCCATGGGTTAGTTTACCATTTCTACCACCCAGGAAGGTTCCTTGGCTGAACAAGGATTTGAACTCAGGTCTTCTAAATCCTATTCTGACACTCTCTCCACTCCATCTCATTGACTCGTGAAATCCCAACTACAAAATCAAGACCTAATACAAGATCAAGTGAGAAATTTATCCATGTAGACCATTAGTGACCATAATTCTCTGATTTCCATGGGTATATGTATATCCTTTGGCAATGGATGGATCACTGAGTACTTTAGACATTGGGCCGAAGAACCAGAGGTTGGGAATTCGATTCCCCACTGAGAATCCAGGGAGAAGAGCCAGTCTGTGTGGCCTTGGGCAAGCTGCACAGTCCCTAGGCATCCCCAGAAAAAGGGAATGGTAAACCACTTCTGAGCACTCTCTACTTGGAAAACCCTGGAAAGAGTCATCATAAATGTGAATTGACTTGATGACACACAACTATTAATTATTACATATTGATGGCACTAGGCTGGTTATTGTTTCTGTATTTCTGTGCAAATGGAGAGCATTGCCTTGTTTTTCTTTGAAGCTACAGTGGACCCTTGACTTACAGATGGCTTGACTTACAGACTTTTTGAGTTACAGACTTCTCTGGCCGCAAAATTTAGGTTTGACTTGCAGCCTGAGAACTGACTTACAGACCAGAAAAAACCAAAATGGAACAAAAACGGCCTGTTACGGGATTAATCGGTTTTCAATGCACTGTAGGTCAATGGAGACTTGACCTACAGACTTTTTGACTTGAGAACCACCTTCCAATACGGATTAAGTTCTCAAGTCAAGACCCCACTGTAGTTCGGAGCAGTGAACTTTGCTTTGCTTTGCTTTATATTCCTTGCAAAATTCCCTCTGACCTCCCTGGCCGTGTTGCTGTCAGTTTAGTTCTTTTCTCGCTATGCCATATCTTCCCCTAGCCCGACTTATTCAGGGTTGCGAACAGGCAACCCCAAAAGTCACTCATGCACCACTGCTCCGAACTAGCTTCAAGGAAAAACAAGGCAATGCTCTCCATTTGCCCAGAAATGCAGAAACAATAACCAGCCTAATGCCATCAAGTCGAGTCTGATTTTATGGCAACACTTTTTTTTCGGGGCCTTCAAAGCAGAGAATACTCAGAAGTGGTTTCTCCTTCCTTTCCACCGGGGGATCCCTGGGACTGTACAGCTGGCCCAAGGCCACCCAGGCTGGAAGCGCAGCGGGCAATCCAGCGCCCAGCCTCTGGTTGGCCAGCCAGATACCCAAAAGTGAACCGTGCCAACCAGCGAACAAACCATCACATAAGCAAGCAACGCTGGTTAGAAGCGGGATGCTCACCCATCAGAAGTCTGAATGCCTGATTTCTGGAGGTGAGCCTTGCAGCAGCAAGGAAACGGGGGAGAATGTAGTTGGGGGGGGACTGAGCCCATGAAAGCCCACCCGATGGCACCCAGCCAGATACCCAAAAGTGAACCGTGCCAACCAGCGAACAAACCATCACATAAGCAAGCAACGCTGGTTAGAAGCGGGATGCTCACCCATCAGAAGTCTGAATGCCTGATTTCTGGAGGTGAGCCTTGCAGCAGCAAGGAAACGGGGGAGAATGTAGTTGGGGGGGGACTGAGCCCATGAAAGCCCACCCGATGGCACAGCTAGTGAGCGATCAGGTGGATGCGAGGGTGGCGAGTGAGAAAGGTGCGCAGAAAAAGACAGCGGCGGGGAGGGAGAGGGCGAGAGCAAGAAATAGCACGCTGTGTCTTTAACTTCCTCCGCGGACGAAGGAAGCCTGCATAGCAATGACAGCCCGGCTTGTTCGTGCTTTTAATATGTGATCTGTTTTCTCCAGTGGAGGGCACTCGGGGTATCGCAAACTCCGGCGTTATAGCACCCGCCAGCTTCTGAGCATCTCTCTCTCTCTCCCCGGTGTCTGGGGCGGGTGGCGGGAGAGAAAGAAAAAGAAGGAAAAGAAAGAAAGAAAGCAAAAGAAGGACGAGAGAGAGAAGGAGGAGGAAAGGAAAGCCCTTCTCGGAGCGGCTGGAGAAGGGCGAGTAGCGTCCCCCCCCCTGCCCGGTTCAAAAAAAAAAGAAGGATCGAAAGAAAGGACCGGCTGGGGAAGAGAACCAGCCTCAAGCGGAGCGGGTGGTTTTTTTTCCTTCCCCTTTTGGAATCTCCTCGGAGGCCTGCTGCCATCCTCATCATCCTCATCCTCTCGCCCCCACCCCCTTTTTTCCTCTCCGACGGTCGGGAGTTGCCGGAGGATGGATCGCCTTGCTTGGAGATGGCAGGAGGGAGCCGAATGAGGAGGAGGAAGGAGGAGGAGGAGGAAGAAGAAGAGGAGGAGGAGGAGGAGGATGCTGCCGCCGCTGCCGCTGCCGCTCCTCCTGCGGCTGCTGCCAGGCGCTGGGCGAGCTTGCCTTTTTTGCGCCCCGAGAAGTTGCTGCTGCTTCGCCTGCGCGGTCCGCGGCCGCTAGTCCGACGTGGCCGGTTTCCCTGCCCCGGGTTTTGCAGGCGGTGAAGAGCCCCGGGGCTTCCAGCGGCTAACCATCCCCCCTTTTCCCCCTTCTTCTTCTTCTTCTTCCTCCTCCTCCTCCTCCTCTCCCGGCACCCCCCCGCCCCAACGCCTGCCTCCCGCAC